GATTCCAGCAGCCATTCTGGTAAGAAAAAAACCCAAACAAACAGGGTTAAAGAGCATTAAACATCTGATAATAGAGATGAGTTAACATTTCATGTTGAATGTATGCCGTGATGAGATTAGTACCGTAGAGCTGGAACACTCACCGTGTTTATTTGGAACATGTTACAACCAGTGAAATATAATTTGGAAGCAGAGAGAATGTTAATGACTGAAGCAAATAAGTCCTTTTCTTAAATCTCAGTTTGAATTATCCAAACGGCTTTGAACGCGTCATATTATAAATGAGGTCTTCTAATGATTCATGTGTCATTTTACAACCTGTGGTGCGATGTGACAAAATGTGCTAATTCAGAACTGGCCTGTTAAATTTTCTCAAATAATATTTATAGAAGTAGTCGAAGCTTTGACTTTTTTCAATCTACTACTCAAAATAATATTGACCTTTAACCTACAGGAAGTAAGACGCTGCAGACACAGACGCTGCAAAATTGCCAACTGATCAGGTTGAAACAGATCTGATAAAAGTTGTCATTGGGCTGACATGGCCAACATTTGTTTTTGTTTTCCTTCAAATTTTGTGCTGGGAATGCAAGAAATCCATCCATGTAAATCAATGATTTCACATGTTTTTACATTTTTATTTTTATTCCCACAGTTTTAAAAACAAGCCCCTTAATTGGAGTCAATCCACCAGCTTTTTTGCCTTAATTCTGTTACTCCCACTTTACTGTATGTTTCAGTGTTGGTCCTTACGGTGGCCCTGAGGTGCAAAACACTACGACATTAACGAATGCGCAACAACATTAATGAAAACACAACGACATTAATAAAAACACTACAACATTAATGAAAACAGAACAACATTAACAAAAACACTACAACATTAACAAAGCACAAATACAAATTCAAAAACACAACAACATTAACAAAAACACAACAACATTAACGAAAACACAACAACATTAATGAAAACACAACAACATTAATGAAAACACAACAACATTAACGAAAACACAACGGAAAAGGTATGTCCCAGTGGGTGACCTAAGAAGTCGCTGATTGGACTACACCTCGTTTTACTTTTGAACCGGAAGTTATTCTGGCTTTAACGTGTTTTTTAAAACATGAATGTTCTCCGTGATCCAAACCTTACTTCTGCTATTCGAGAGTATTTTGACTCAGGATATACATATGAGGTGATACTGGACATGCTTCGGACCAACCACGAAGTGTCAGTTAGTATGCGTTCACTAAAGATTTATTTGAAAGAAGCAGGGCTGCATAGAAGAGGCAACTACTCTCCACTTCCGTATTCCCGCTTGCTTTGCTTCTCATTCAAACGAAGCACACTGGAATAACTTCCGGTTCAAAAGTAAAACGAGCTGTAGTCCAATCAGCGACTTCTTAGGTCACCCACTGGGACATACCTTTTCCGTTGTGTTTTCGTTAATGTTGTTGTGTTTTTGAATTTGTATTTGTGCTTCGTTAATGTTGTTGTGTTTTTGAATTTGTATTTGTGCTTCATTAATGTTGTAGTGTTTTTGTTAATGTCGTTGTATTTTCATTAATGTTGTAGTGTTTTTATTAATGTCGTTGTGTTTTCATTAATGTTGTTGTGCATTCGTTAATGTCGTAGTGTTTTGCACCTCAGGGCCACCGTAGGTCCTGCTTCTAACATTCCAAAAAACAAGGAGAGAAAACATTTGGGTTCACTTTTCCTGTAAACAGATGTTTTTCCCTTGCAAAATTGGCTGGTTTTAAATGTCGAACCTGCTATATTTTGATCACAGGACCCTTCAGACGTCTATATCAAGCCAAAGTTCAACCCTTTCTATCCCCACATTACAACACATGAGATTTACATGTCATTAGGTAGCTTTGGATGTTGTCTGTGGTTGACTCAGGAGCCTCTGAACAGCCATAGTGACTCTTTTCTGTACTATACAAAGTTAAACTGGAGGCTAAACTTTTTAAAGCCCCCAAGGGAGAGAAGGGAAATTGTTCAAATCAAGTAAAAAGTTAAAATCAGATCTGATGCGAAGTGCAGCGGAAGTCAGACTGCAGATCAAATCGTTGGTCTTTTCTGTAATCTGTCATTTTTTTGTGTGTTGCAAATTCCAAGTTCCCATGCTGGGGACAACAAGTGTTGCAAAAGCTGGTTGCATTTTAGCTGTCATGAACTCTTGTAAGCAACTAAAGGTTTTAATCTGATCATTATTATCCCTGTCCTGTAAGATTAGCAATTCGCAGTATTCAATAAGATGAAAGCAAATTTTTAAATCGTCAACAGGTTAAAGGTTTTAATCTGTTCAAAAATATGTCTGTCAAGTCCAACTGATGTTAAACATTGCTAAAAACTTCAGAATATTACGTTTCTCTTTTTGTGAATTACCTTTAAAATGAAAGTCATATTTACATTACATTGCGAATTTGACTATCAGAGGAGGGGGAAAAGCATTTAATTGGTAATTATGCATGAAAGAAAATGGAAAAGGAATCGCTGTGTGTGACAGTGGATCAGGAGTTTCCACACCTTATTCTGAGTCTGTCATCGTACCCCGAATCCAACAGGTATTCTGGTAAGAAAAATACAAAACCAAAACACGTTTAATGAGCATTAAACATCTTTGAATTAAGAGTGAGTGTAACTGCAAATAGAGATGATTTAACATTCCAGATTGAAGGTGTGTAGTGATGAGATCATTACTGTAGAGCTGGAACACTCACCGTGTTTATTTGGACCTTGTTACAGCCTGTGAAAAATCATTTGGAGGCAGAGAGAATGTTAATGACTGAAGCAAATGGGTCCATTTCTTAAATCTCTATGGTTTTTGTTTTTACCTGGCTATATCTCTATTTCTCTATCTCTATTTCTGTTCCCCTCAGCTCATAACCAGCAAACGGTTGTGTTTCACAAATTTCCATAAAAAAAACAAACTCCAGGAAATGGATCAGTCTATGAAGGCTGTCAATGTATGTTCTTTAGATTCAGCAACATATCAATTTATATGTCACGTTTTTCTGGGATAAAATATTCTATTGTAGTTTTTTGGGCCAGTTAAAGCCAAAAGTAGTTAGGACTGAATATTTTTGCAGGAAACAGGCTTGATGTTTCTTGTTGCTTTCAGTCTGAGCCTTCATTTAGCTTTTCTAAAAAGATTACAGGA